GTGTGGTGCTCTGCACGCTTCCTGAGCCACCTCGGTCGCTTGTCCACAGGAAGAGCTGCCCACAGGAAGAGCTGTGGTTTGACAAGGGAGCTGTCTGCATCCCTGGAGAAGGGCATAGGCCTAGACAGGAGGCCACTCAGGAAAAGAAGGAACAATTCACGGCAAAACCAGCCTGGGAATGAAAGGCAGAGATTCCTATGTATGATCTGGCCAAGCTTTTAGATGGCAGAATTGGAGCACCTCAGAGGATCAGGGCACAAAATCTTTCCATAAAGCGTGAGACTGAGAATGACTTTTTGGTTTTTGTCGACAGCTGCCGAGGACAAGCAACCGAGGTGGCTCAGGAAGTGTGCAGAGCACCATACTGGTGCTGACTGGAAAGGAGGCACCGGGAGCCTGCAGAGGCAGTCCCAGGAGGGAAATGGTCCCGTGGTGAATGGGGTGAGAACCTGCGGGGCCAGCCAGAGACCCCCAGTCCCCACCAGTATTGTTTTGGCCTGTGCCTTGCCCGTCTATCCCACAGCAACACAGAGGTTGTTTCTTATTTTCTTGCCAAGGCTTTAAACTTAAACTCTGCTACTGTGTTCGTGATCCCCAGACCCCTGGTCGGCCAGCAGAGCGCCGGTGTGGCGAGGCTGTGGGCAGCCCCATGCCACCAGGCCTCAGCGTGGCCTCGCACCACCTGCCTCCACGCCCCTCCTTGAGTCCCGTCACATGCGCAGTTACAGTGAGTCCCATTTTATCCCCACCAAGACAGGTCTCCCGCAGTCTGGAGGTAAGGTCCCCCCGGCTCTGTGACGGCAGTGGGGCCTGAGCAGGGGCTTCAGATACACAGCAGACCCTCTCCCCACCCGGCCCCTTTGGACTAAAAGAAACTATAGTATTTGAAATCCTATCTCTTCGGGTTCTTGTCTGGCTACAGGCGAAGCAGCAGCCCCTCTTAGTAGAAGGAGATACTGGATTTGCCTCCAGGCGGGTTGAGGACTTTGTTATGAGAGCTCGGCCACAGGCCCAACCCGGGCTCATGGCTGTCCTCCGCGGGCATGGGCACCGGCTTCTGGGCATGGCCCACTTCTCCAGGCCCTCCCTTCTCACCGGGTTCTTCTCTGGGCAACGAGCTCGTTGTGGCTTTAGGGGCTGATTTGGGGTCTTCTCCCTGACACAAGAACACGTGGTCCTTGGGTTTGTTTGGGTCTGCTAAAGGTGAAGTGGGAGCAACTGGGGACCCAAAAATGTCACTGGTCTTCCCACCAGGTGGGTTCAGATGCTGTCGAGTCTGCACAGGTGTGGATTCGTCAAAGATACCGCTTCCTTTCCCCCCTGGAGGACTGGTCCTTTTAGGTATGTTCTGAGACTCTTCGGTTGGTTCAAAAATATTAGATGCCATCCTATTGGGCCTGCTTGATGGAGCGGCTTCTTCTGGACTTCCAAAAAGATTGCCGGCCTCTCCTCCCGGAGGCTTCATGGCCCTGGAGCCCGCCCGGCCTCCGTTGCTCTCTGGGGCCTGGAACATCTCAGTAAATTTCTTATCTGTCCCTTTTCATCATCAGACTTTGAAAAATAATTTTAAAGAAAATTATATTTAAAAATCTAGATACTCATTCTTCTATCATAAAATATTATTTCTCACGAATTCATAGGTAATAACATGTTTAGAAAGGCTCATAAACTACATTTTATAAATTTTATAAATTTATAATTTAAAATTTATATAATGTAGTTTAAAATTTATAATTTTAAGTTTATATAATATAGTTTTATAAACCTGATGCCAATAAATACAAATTTCAAATATAAGGACCTTTCTTAAAAACAGCTTAAACTGATTTTACATTTTCATCATTATTTTTTCTAGAATTTAAATTGCCAAAATTAACTTGTTAAATACAGAGGTTCTTACCCATATTAATACTAAGTGTTAATGAAAAATTTTAAAAAGTGGTTATATTTACATTTTAGTTTCTAAAGATGCCCTAGAAATATTTTCATCCATAGCTTAAGATACTCTGGGTTTTGTGAGATCATACCTTTTTAAGATAATCTCTGAAAAATTCCTATGCAGTCCCCATTACAGTTTTGATGATCATCTGACTTTAGAATGAGAGTATCTCATTCTCTGCAAGCATTGCAAGCATCTCTGCAAGGTTTCAATTTCTTCTTTTCTATTAACTACCTTTCTCTTTAAATAAAGTTTAAGTCTTCTC